GAGAGAGAGAGAGAGAGAGAGAGAGAGAGAGAGAGAGAGAGAGAGAGATATGTTGGGGCCCAGTTTAGACCTCCACTGATGGCACTGGACTGGGAGTCCTTAGTGAAAGCGCCACCACCACAGAGAGAGCAGACAAGGATTCAGAGTAGCCAAGAGAATGCTCTCACTCCTGCTTCCCTGAGCCTGGCCCTGGCTTGCCCCGCCCTCAGCTCTGCGGCTGTTCTGACCCTCATGGCAGCCTGTGTTCTTGGTTACCCCTCCTCTGTTTACATTCCTGACCCCTGTGTCTGCGATTCCGCCACTTTCAAGCAGCTCTTTATTGAATTCTGCTTCCATCACAGCTGTTCAGTATCTGACATCATCTCACAAAACAAGGGTCACAATAATAAACAAGAAAAGACCTTTCTCTCCTTGTAAAGCTACTCAAGGGTAGAAGAACCTTTTTAAAAGTTTTCTATGACTGCTAGTGAAATAAGGCCGTAATTATCAGAGGTAAACCTTTGATTCTTTTCTTCATTCTGAAGGTGGCGTTTGGACAAAGTGGAGGGAAGGCACGCTTGCTTGTGGATGGGCTAAGGGCCCAGGAAGGCAGCTTGCCTGGAAATTCTACCATCAGCCCCAGGGCACAGGTTTACCTGGGCTTGTCACCATCAAGGAAGTTGAAGGTAAAGCTAGAAAAAAAATATTTCTCAGTATAGCTGTTATCACGTGAGACATTTAATACTTCAACATCCTTTAAATAATTGTTTGACATATTTAATGTTCTCAACCCACAAAGGAAGTGCCCACTCTGCATTCTCGGGCCTGTGTATAAGGACCAGACTGAGATACAAGCATTTAAGAAGTGTCATGGTGTTCTTTAAGAACATTTAAGAAGAAACATGACTCTCTTAGCTTCTCTTCCAGGGAAAGGGACAGAGGTGTGTGTTTGTTGATTTGTTATTTCGTGTGTGGATATTGTGTTTATATGCATGTCTGTGCACCACATGTGTGCCTGGTGCCTGTGGAGGTCAGAAGAGTACATCAGATCCCCCAGAGACTGGGGTTAGAAAAGGTTATGAGCGGCCATCTGGGTGCTGGGAATTACATCTAGTCCTCTGAAAGAACAGCCAGTGTCTTGACCACTGAGCCACGTCTCCAGCCTGAGGTAGAGGTTTCGGGTTAAGACAATGTGTCCTAAGCTTTGGCAGTCTCTGCCACCTTTGCCAAACCGGAGCCAAAGCATGTACTTCCTACTTCGCTGCCTTTCACCTCGCTGTTGAATCAAAATTTACTTTAAAGGGCCACTTCTCTTTCATAAATGGAAACCCAGTGTCTGTATCATAAATAGCAAATAACCACACAAATGAGTACTTGGACATGGGGGGGGGGCAGCATCATTAAAGTCTGGGGAGGTGGTGTGGCCTGTGCTTGCTCTTGTGGAGAGCGGAGCTTGCGAACAAGTCAAGAGGTGTTTAAACATATTAGCATGGCACAAAGCCAAGTGTGTTCCCTTTTCTAGTCAGAGGGCCCCCAAGAGACTTGAAGACGTGGAAGGTGTGTTTGCAGTAGACACTGTGCTTGCTGGGGCGAGGGCCTGGGCCGGATCTCCAGCCCAGATGGAAAACACAGAGGAGATCTTCATACCACACGCATCACACCGTTCTTCCCTGAAGTGACAGCGTTAGCTCAAGACTCAAACTAGGGACCGTGGCTGTGTGACAACTGAGAGTCCCCTGACACCCTAGAGGAGCTACGGTTCACTGTCCTTAAAGGGCCGCAGCCTCTTGCTTGCTCTCTCCCTGTCTCTCTCTCACCCTGCCAAAGTGCCAACTGCACCAGGGATGCCCTACGTCCCTGACCTTGCCTGTGCCATTTCAGGTCACGGTACCTTGAGAGCTCAGGCCTGCGAGCTATCCTTTACCCAGATGTAGTTTTTGGTGCTTCCTCAAGAGTTGAGGGCACTCTCTGGTGTGATGTTCGCTTGCAGTGAGCTAGGAAAGGGCCTGGGCTCGAATCTGGGCCTTGAAAAGGATGTAAGTAAAGCAGGCATTGCCCACCAGCTTAGACCTTAGTGTTTCAGGGTGACCCGGTCAGAGCTGGGGTAGGTCTGGCCCATTATTTGTACCAAAGCTACAGCAAGGAATAAAGAATGGTTTGGTACTATGTATGCAGTCATTTTGAATGTCCATCACAAATACTGCATACCATATTTCTATAATAGGCTTATGGTGTCTATGGCATACACTAAGGGCTCCTTACTGTTAACAGTGATTTTGCTCCAACCTCTAAACCCATTTTCCTCTCAGGAAAGTCACAGGTTATTCAGGGTGTGATTAGGGCATTCTTCTGATTCTGATAAGTTCTCTTAGCCCTCATTAATCACATGTAGCTTCCTAAGTGGGGGCAGACAGCAGCATCTATTTACAGTGTTCAATTTAAAGGACTTTCAGTTGATATACAGCGTAGTGGATTTTCCTGTGATATGGTCACTTGGCCCTGATGCTTTGGGCCTGTGGCAAGGCAGGGCATCACAGCAGGGAAGGTCTAATGGGCAAAGCTACTTGCCTTGGTCAGGAAGCAAAAAAGTGAGGTGAGAACCAAGATCCCATCCCCCTTGGGTGAGCATGCCAGCAATGACCGCCGTTGCCTCCTGAAGGGCGCACAACCTTCCAGTAATGCCATAGGCAGGCTTTTAGCAGGGCCCTTGGGACCCTTAAGATTCCAACGGTAAGAATATAAAATCCAGTAGTGGTGCTAAGCAGCAGAACTGCAGACAGCCTTGGGTTTGGCTGTTGGGTCACAGTCGGGCCTGTGGTGTCTGCACGTGGTTTCAGATACAGAATACGTCTGTGTAGCACAATAAATGTGAGGAGATGTGTTAGGTACTACCTCATCGCTGGGGAAAATGCCTGACAATATGACAGTAGCAATTTAGGGAAGGGAGGGCTTATCTTGGCTCCCAGTTCTTCAGTGCAGTTGTAGTAGTGGCAAGAGTGGAGATGACTGATACATCGCACTCACAGCTAGACACACCCGCAGCTAGATGCACCCGCAGCTAGATGTATGCACAGCTAGACGCACCCGCAGCTAGACGCACCCGCAGCTAGACGCACGCGCAGCTAGACATGGAGATGAACGGTGAAAGAGCTGGGCTTCCACTGTGTGAAGACCTCAGCCCATGCGACGGTGCCCCCTACATCTACGGTGGATTTCCAACCTCAGTTACCAATCCAGAAGCTCCCTCACAGGCATGCCCAATAGCTTATCTATTAGGTGGTTCGAGGTCCTGTCAAGGTGACGACATTAACCGTCATAGAGACTAATTTCTGAGGAGGGTTTGCGGACCACTTGCCGCCTCACCACACGCATCTCTCAGGTCGCCACGCTCCCTTAAAATTACCTGTAAAAAATTGGGGATTTCAGGAGTGTTTTGTGGATTTGGCGAATGTGCTGTGGTTCTTCTCCTGGGGGGTGGGATGTGCACACAGTGAGCATCTGCTGTATACCACAAGGTATTGTGAACCGTCATAAACCCAGATCCAGACTGGGAGCTCTTGTTCCAGGCCCCCTTCAGGCAGGTGTGGACGAGGTGCATGGAATCTCCTTTGACCTCTGTGGCCTTCCTGGCTTGTTGGTAGTGTACCACGCCTAAAATATAGAGAGCCATCTTGCACTTCATTATTTTGGGAACATTTTGGCCCCATTTTTCAGTCAGCTGCCTGGAATTAAGTTATCACGCTGGCTCACAAAACCCTAAGAAACGGTTCACACCTACAGAGAATGGTGAGATGTATAAACTGTGAGGCGGAATTCTCCTTGTGTTGCAGCTCAGTCTGTGTGAGCCAGAGTCATGTTGACCCTCTTGGTTCTTAGTTGAGCACAGACTAGCAACTTCCACCCCACCCCAGCACTTGGTTCAGAGCACCTCCAAACGCCCACCGGTTCTCTGGCAGGCTGCATGCCCTTCACGGTGGCTCTTCTGGGAGTTACACGCTATGAACGTTTGATCCTCTGCTTTGTTACAGAGCCTCCCCCAACACAGCTTTGTAGGGTGCCTGAGGAACTTCCGGTTGAACTCAAAACTCCTGGACTCTCCCTCAGCAAGTTTTGGGGTATCTCCTTGCTCAGGTGGCTCTTTGGAGAAAGGCATTTATTTCTCCCAAGGAGGAGGCCACGTGGCCCTGGGTAAGGAACAGTTGGCGGAGTTCATGTCTGTAAGTCTAAAGAACTCTGTTTTCTTTCCTTAATTATGTTTTAACTGTTTCTTGTTCTTTCTTCTGGAAGCCAATTCTGTGTCCTTGGGGCCAGAGTTTCAGCTCCTTTTCAGCATTCGCCCGAGGAGTCTCACTGGGACCTTAATACACATCGGAAGTCAATCTGGACCACACTTAAGTGTTTACATGGAGGCAGGAAAGGTATGCTTACATGGGAGGGGAGGGAGCCAGATTCCACTAACAGAGACACTCAGTAGGTCTAAAGTTAGGGTACAGGTGGAATCCAATATTATACCTAAGAGACCTGATTTGGAGAACAACTTCCCATTTTTATTAGCAAGTCAGGTTATCATATTTCCTCTGCTTCATTTTTAAAATTGTGAAACGTCAAACAAATTGAGCTGAATTCTGGAAACACCACTTAGTTATAGGATCCGGGAGAAGCTGCTCAATTTTTTCAGACACAATTGCAGTGTCTATAAAATATAGACAATAACTCTACCATCTGGGCACCAGGCTAGACATTGCTTCGCTTCGGAGGTCAGACAAGATTGGGTACCTTCAGGTGGTGTGGCTGCAAACAAATGTCAATCCTAGGACTTTTGTCAGGATTAGAGGAAATGCCACACACCTCACCCATGCTTCTATCCCTCCGTGTCGCCCTCCATGTCTTGGTGAGCCCCTGGAATCCACTCTGCGCCCATAGTTTTCTCTGTGTAGCTGTTGTGCTCTGTTCTCTGTGCTAAGGTGTGTGCCGGTTCCCGCACCGTCTCTCCCTTGGCTTGGCTTGATTCTTCCCCCTTTAATGCTTCTGCTGCCTCAGGTTCCTATCAGTCACAGGCCCGAGTCAATATCCTATTTCAACAACCACATTTTATATCTTTAAAACGAAATTCTTTCAGGAATCTTCTTTGTAGCTAAGGCCTCAAGTCAAGATGAATGTTGTGCCATTTTCTTTCATTTAGCTTTCAACAGTTTATTAAAAATGGGGAGAATGTCCAAGATGACAATAAAATGGCTCCAAGTCCTAGAATACGGGTTTTTTTTTTCTTTCTAGGGGTCAAACACAGAGTCTCTGACACTCTGTGCAGTCGTCTATTTCAGTGCCGGACTCCTGGCCCAGCCACTATGTCCCGTTTTTAAAGTTTTCATCAGCGAATGACAATTATACACAATAATGGGTTTCCTTATGATGTTTCTATGAGCGAACATAACGAATTTAGATCATATTTACCCATGATGCTCCCTGGGCCCCTCCCACTCCCCCTCTTCTACTTTGTCTTTTTGGTTTGGGGGAACCCGGTGAGTGCAGCTGGCTGTGCTCACAGGCGCATGGGCGGAGCACAGGCAATTTGCCAGTGCCTACACCTCCGAAGAACCGACACTCCTTCCCACAACCTCAACGGTAGATCCTTCCTGAAGCTGTAAACGTTAAGTCAGTGTGAATCTCCAGTCACGCACAGGAAGAAGTAGCTGCCTGCGTGGGTGGTGGGCATGTGGTGGCTGACTTTGCAGAGGAGGGTTTGGGGGAGGGTCGTCATTGACTGCCTCCAGACAGGAAATGATGCCAAGAAAACAAAATCAAGACTTGGTGACCTTCATGACTGCATGAAGGTCAAAACCCGCTTGTGAGTGGCCTGCCCCATGTAGCTACAGAGAAATCAGATGTAAATTATTTATAAATAGGCTTATTTTAGCCTTCTCATTCTATTCACCTTGACTTAACCCTTGGAAGATCCCGGAGGAGTCCCCAACCTGGAGAGTGGGAAGGTGGGATTCTGCCTTCAGTGTACCCAGTGCCTGGCACCTGACACATGTCCTGTCAAATACAATCTGCAGCTTAACATCCTGTGATGTGCAGTGCACTGGGGGATTACTGTAACTGGCTGGTCCTTGCAG